TGCTTTATTTCCCTTTTTATAGATGGGCACTATATTTGCCCTTTTCCAGTCTTCTGGAATGTCTCCCGTCTTCCATGACTTTTCAAAGATAATTGCTGATGGCTCAGATATCTCCTCCGTCAGCTCCTTGAGTATTCTAGGATTCATTTCATCAGGCCCTGGTGATTTGAAGACATCTAACTTGTCTAAGTAATTTTTGACTTGTTCTTTCCCTATTTTAGACTCTGATCCTACCTCATTTTCACCGGCATTCACTATTTTAGACGTCCAATCGCCACCAATCTTCTTGGTGAAAACCGAAAAAAAGACGTCATTAAGCACCTATGCCATTTCCACGTTTTCTGTTATTGTCTTTCCTACCTCATTGAGTAATGGGCCTACTCTGTCCTTGGTCTTCCTCTTGCTTCTAATGTATTTGTAGAACGTTTTCTTGTTTCCTTTTATGGCCCTCGCTAGTTTGATCTCATTTTGTGCCTTGGCTTTTCTAATTGTGTCCCTACATATTTGTATTATTTGTTTATATTCATCCTTTGTAATTTGACTGAGTTTCCACTTTTTGTAGGACTCTTTTTTGAGTTTTAGATCATCGAAGATCTCCTGGTTAAGCCAGCGTGGTCTCTTGCCATACTTCCTATCTTTCCTACGCAGTGGGATAGTTTGCTCTTGTGCCCTTAATAACGTCTCTTTGAAAAACTGCCAACTGTCTTCAGTTGTTTTTCCCCTTAGACTTGCTTCCCATGGGATCTTACCTGCCAACTCCCTGAATTTGCTATATTCTCTTATGCAAATAAAACTACCTGTCTCCTATGTCAAGAGCTACCCAATACTAAACTCCAGGCACGGGACAGAGAGGAAGAGAAACAGATATAGCACAAATAGAAAGAATAATTGATTTTATTATACAACAGATGCAGAATGGACCTACAACTGAGTCTTACTATAGCTGGATTTGCCTGTTTGTCTGAGTCAGGGAGGCCCATGTTAAGTGCCTTTGCATTTCTTCCAACAAGACTTCAGCCTGTTTGTATCCTGGAGTTCATAAATCTTCTTGCATCTAGTGAGACAATTTATTACTTTAAAAATTGGTTTGGATCTGAAAGACTCCTTTTCCTCAGTAGTTAGTGTCAGATAGGAGGATAAGGATGACATGTATCAGATCCAGTTAGACACAGTCCAGGCAACTTACAGAAATGAGATTAGTAAGCAGAGAGGCAGAAAAATACATTGCTTGCACATACTACATCAGGGGTCGGCAACGTTCGGCACGCGGCTCGCCAGGGTAAGCACCCTGGCGGGCCGGGCCAGTTTTATTTACCTGCTGACGTGGCAGGTTCGGCCGATCGCGGCCCCCACTGGCCGCGGTTCGCCGTCCTGGGCCAATGGGGGCGGCGAGCGTTGTGGATTGTGCTCCTAGTCCTATATTTATACCTCTGCCATATTTATGTAGGCCCAAACCTGTAAACACTCACATGCTTAACTTTACACAGTCAGTATGTACTACTCACATGCAAAAAATTACATACCTGCATAAATGCTTGCAGGATCAGGAGCCTAGACTGTAAGATTTTAAAGGGATTATAATCAGAAGAGTTTTGCTTAATAGTGATCCTCTCTCCATAACATACTACTCTATTACATTTAATTAGTGCTGAACAAATAACGATTTATCCAACAAATGTAGCTTCTTTATCTGCTCACGGAATATTTGAAAACAGACCGCAATTTTCCCCAATTTATTAATTATTCAAAAGCTTTCAGCACATTTTTAACTCTATGCATTGATAGCTAAATTCTCTCTGAATTTTTGACACAGGCTATCCAAATTATGTTGGTTAGTTATGAAAGTTCACACAAATCGCTCATGGGTAAAGGTGCATAGGCATATAAAAAAGGCTGAGTTAAATCGTCCCAATTTAAGTTTGTTCTAAAAAGAAAACTTTTTACAAAAACTAATATAAATGAAAAAAATGAAATATATTTTCTTTAAAAATGCAAATTTAAAAAAAATGTAAGTGTTCCTTTGCAGGGAAGTCAAATACATTACCTGATGGTGAAACTGACTAGTGGTGACAGAGCCCCTGAGTGATAGAGCTTGAAAAGTCTCCAGTCCTCAGGCCTAATTGGTCAGGAGATGTGCCCCATTACTAGGCCAGAGTGGGGTTTGGAAGTCAATGAGCTAATTAGCCTGCTCTCTGGTAAAGGCCTCAGCAAAGGTGTGCTGATATGTATTGGTGGGGGGAATTAGACACTGTAAATAAAGTATATACTGATTTTTAGAGCAAAATGGTTTCAGAGCCATTTGTGTTCGTAGAAGAGGTAGGGGCATAGTGGATGTACCCTGTCATGCTAATCTAGTATCAATGTTCAAGTGGAGTGAAAGTAAACAAAGGAGAAATATTGAAAAGGGCATTCTTTTATTTATTACAGAAACACCTAGTGGCTCCATTTGTGCAAGGCTCTGTACAAATACACGTCAGTGTTAGATACTCTACAGATACAGAGCTGGTTACAACACTTCAAAATCTGGAATTTTCAGTGAAAAAAAGGAGAAACATTTTCCTGGTTTTTAATACCAGCTCCTTTTATAGTCTAAGGCCCAGATACTGTATATCAATGGAGCTGCCTACAGTGCATAAAGTTAAGCACATACATAAGTCTTTACAGAATCAGGGGTTAAATAAACAAGATGGAGAAAGGAAAATTGAGGGGTGAAGTGACTTGCCTGAGATACTATAGTAACTCAGTGGTAGACTCTAGGAGTGAAATCCTGGACACACTGAAGTCAATTGACTTCACTGAGGTCACCAGGTCTCCTGCGTCCCTGAGCAGTGCCCTATCCACTGGACCACATTACCTGTAAGGGGACCTATTGCTACTCCCATTAAATTACATGGGATTTTTGTTGAGCAGAATTGAGTTCAGGGTATCATATATTTTATGTTTTAGGAATCTGAAATTTTATCCAAAATACAGAAAAGGCATTTGTTAAATATATGATTTTTACCTTGATAGTCTCTTTTTTACAATTACTGGTGACCACAGATTAACATAATTTGTTGGGAAATAGTCAACATGTTTTTTGTAAAGGGAAATCATGCCTCACCAATCTACTAGAATTCTTGAAGGGGTCTACAAGCATGCAGACAAAGGAGATCCAGTGGATATAGTGTATTTAGATTTTCAGAAAGCCTTTGACAAGGTCTCTCACCAAAGGCTCTTAAGCAAAGTAAACTGTCATGGGATAAGAGGGAAGGTTCTCTCATGGATTGGTAACTGGTTAAAAGATAGGAAAAATAGGGTAGGAATAAATGGTCAGTTTTCAGAATGGAGCGAGGTAAATAGTGGTGTCCCCCAGGGATCTGTACTGGGCCCAGACCTATTTAACATATTCATAAACGATCTGGAAAAGGGGGTAAACAGTGAGGTGGCAAAATTTGCAGATGATACAAAACTACTCAAGATAGTTAAGTTCCAGGCAGACTGTGAAGAGCTACAAAAGGATCTCACAAAACTGGGTGACTGGGCAACAAAATGGCAGATGAAATTTAATGTTGATAAATGTAAAGTAATGCACATTGGAAAACATAATCCTAATTATACATATACAATGATGGGATCTAAATTAGCTGTTGCCACTCAAGAAAGAGATCTTGGAGTCATTGTGGATAGTTTTCTGAAATCATCCACTCAATGTGCAGTGGCAGTCAAAAAAGCGAACAGAATGTTGGGAATCATCAAGAAAGGGATAGATAATAAGACAGAAAATATCATAATGCCTCTATCTAAATCCATGGTACGTCCACACCTTGAATACTGTGTATAGATGTGGTTGCCTCATCTCAAAAAAGATATATTGAAATTGGAAAAGGTTCAGGAAAGGGCAACAAAAATGATTAGGGGTATAGAAAGGCTTCCGTATGAGGAAAGATTAAAAAGACTTTGACTTTTCAGCTTGGAAAAGAGGCTACTAAGTGGGGATATGATAGAGGTCTATAAAATCATGACTGGTGTAGAGAAAGTAAATAAGGAAGTGTTATTTACTCCTTCTCATAATACAAGAACAAGGGGCCACCAAATGCAATTAATAGGTAGCAGGTTTAAAACCAACACAAGAAAGTATTTTTTCACGCAACACACTGTCAACCTCTGGAACTCCTTGCCAGAGAACGTTGTGAAGGCCAATACTATAACGGGGTTCAAAAGGGAGCTAGATAGATTCATGGAAGATAGGTCCATCACTGGCTGTTAGCCAGGATGGGCAGGAATGGTGTCCTTAGCCTCTGTTTGCCAAAAGCTGGGATTGGGTGACAGGGCATGGATCACTTGATGATAACCTGTTCTGTTCATTCCCTTTGGGGCACCTGGCCACTGTCAGAGGACAGGATACTGGGCTTGATGGACCTTTGGTCTGACCCAATATGGCCATTCTTATGTTCTCTGAAATTCAGATTCCCCTTGCAAAGATTTGTGCACATCCTTAACAGTTATTCACTGTGAGTATTCCCACTGAAATTTTGAAAATATTTATGTGCATAATGGCCCTGACATGGTCTCCAGTTGGGCAAAGATTTATCTTTAAGTATGTGAGTAGTCCCCAATTAAGCCCGGGTGCAAATTTTTGCTAGATTGGGGCCCTAACCAGACAGACGACGACTGGCTTCAAAAGGGCTTGCTTGCTTTGATCATCATTATTATTATTTGTATTAGAGCAACACCTCAGCGGTCCCAACCAGGAATGATGACCCAGGGTGCCAGGTGCTGTACAAATAAAGAGCAAACCTGAGTTCCTCCCCCTCACAGAGTTTACAGTCTAAGCACCAGGGATTATGTCCCGCACAGCCCTGCGCACATGGTTGGCATGTCATCCGCAATCTAACCGCCCAGGGGCCTCTCGCCCAGCCCGTGGCGCTCCCACCGAGCCCCGCCCCTGGCCCCGCCCCGCCGGTGCTGGCGGAGGGCCCGAGCGGGCAGCACCAGCCGGAGGAGGCGGAGTTCCTCCCTCGCTGCCGCGGCGGCTACATTGTATCTTCCGCGTCCGGCCCTGCGCGGCGGCTGGGCGTGGAGTTCGCGGCTGGGTTCTGGCCCCGCTCCGCCGGGCTGCAGCGGGCGGGGGCGGTCGCGGTCTCTGCTTCGGGCCGCCAGCGCCTGCCTGGGCCCCGGGGTCCTTGCCCGCCTACGGCCGCCGCCGAGCGCAGCCATGTCGGCCGGGGGCGGCGGGCTGGGGACCCCCCGGGCCCTGCCCTCCTCCGGGCCCCGGGCGCTGCGGGACATGCCGCACCCGCTCGCCGCTTCCAGCAGCGAGGAGGCGGCCTCCGAGCTCACCCCCAGCCCGGACCTGCTGCTGCCCCGCAGCTTCGCTGACAAGGTAGGGGCCCGGCCGGGCTGGGGTGCGGGGCACTGGGGAGGGTGAATTGCGGGGCTTATTTCCCTGCCGGCTGCATCGCTTGTATCCCGGAGCTGGCTCTGCGTGCACAGGAGCCCCCCGGCCATGCTATTGACACATCAGCAGGGGCGCTGGGCTGCTTTCCCGGGGGGGGCTGCTTCCCCCTCCACACGCCCCCGCGTGGGTTCGGGTCGCGCCCGGGAGCGTGGTCGGAAAGACGTGAGTAGCAGGCGAAATCCCAGCAAATCCCCCCCCCCCCCCCCCGGGTCCCTTCTTGTCTTGGCTGCTGGTTAAACGGGCAGGATGTGATCAATGCTCCTCTTCTGTTCAGCGTTCGGCCTTTATTGCTCACGAGGGATGAGGGATCGATCCCTGCCTCGCAAGGTGGAGGCTGTAGCCCAGCGGGGAAAGCGCTGTGCCGCTAGTATTCTTGCTTACCCTTAGGCTTGTCATCCATTTGAATGTGATCCTCTCCTCTGGAGCTGCTTTCCTTGCCACTTTCCCTTCTCACCATAATCCTATGCCAGGTAGGCTGTGCTGTCTCCACATCCCCTCTCTTTCCAGGCCTGTGTGCGTGCATACTAGGAGTCTAGGTGTCTTGAGAAGTGCTACGTTTCTAAATACCTTGTGACTCTCTCCTCTCTCGAGGGAACTTGGAGCCACATGGATTGCTTTCCTGGGCAGACCTCGCATTATACCGGTGTTGCTTGTTCTTGCAGTGGTTAGGTATTTCTTATTGAGCGTGCATGCAGGCTTTTTTTTTTTTTTAATTGTAGTTGAATAAAGAAATCTGGTCAGGTTGGATAGTGGTTATGCCTTGGACAGCTTGTGGGGGTGGCCCTGAAGCTTTCTCAAACTAAATTTATCAATAGATAAATATAGGGCCTGGTCCTACAAGGTGCTGCACGCTTCCTGAACTCTGAATGGCATCCTCCGCTCTCATTGACTTGTGCAGGATGGGGCTAGGTGTCAACAGTTACAAATCTGCCGTCCTTTGTTCTGGAGGCTTTGTGGCTGCCCCTGGCTTTGTCTAAATCCACATGAGTGGAGCTCTCTACAGGGCAAGACTGAGGTGATCTGGAGCCCTAGGCATACCCTTTTTGCCCTGCCATGCTTCTCATTGCGGGGCAGCGGTCATCCCTCCCCATACAAGAGCTGTCTGGTGCCACTGCTCCTCTCTGTAGATGGGGTCTCTCCCTTATCCCTGATCCACCATTCATTGTCTCCGAGGGGGATGGTGCCTCCCCTGGAGGAGAGGGGACTTGCCCACCTGAGCCGAAGTCACCCTTCTGTGACTTGACCAGCAGGCAAATAGTTGACCTGTACGTTATCGACATTAGGCTTTGGGGTTGGCACCTTTTGAGATGGCGTGGGGCAGCTCACACCTCAGAGCTGCGTAGTAGGTTGTCAGTGCACTAAGGTGGACGTTACTGTCTTGGTTTACCTTCAGGTTGTGAGCTAACATGATGTCTTTGCATCTGTAAGGGCTGGAGGCTCCGGCCTTGGCTCCACCAAGGAGATTTGCATGAAAGTAACTGTAGTGGTGCAAACTCAATGTGCTGCACCAGTATCGCTGATCCCGGTATGTTACTGGTGTAAGTCCTGCTCTGAGACGTAACTACACTGGTGTGAACTTCCCTAGTGTAAACAGGGCCTTAAACTTGGTCCTTAAATTCTGGAGTGCAAGCAGGTGCACATCTTTTTAAGAGGCAGCTGAGAGTCAGGTGAGCTTCGTCACCCTGATCATTGGGGTGGGGGGGGGGAGGTTGGGAGAAGGAGGAGAGGGCTCTGCCCAACAGTAGCCTCAGGCCAGCTGACAATATGCTCGTAGGAAGCAGTGCAGGTGAACCCACCTGTGCTGCTGGAGTCATTTGTGTAGGGTGGGGATGAGTGCTAGCTGCTGAAAATGCCGTATGTGTGATGGGGGAATAGATGCTCACAGTAATTGGCCTTATTCAAAGCTTGTCTCTGAGTTAAAATATTCTGACATCAAAGCAGTGGAGAACAGCAGACTCAATTAGCTCTCTATCTGAATGCCATATCTTTGGTATAATCTCTCAAATAAAAAGGGATGCCCTGAGCCTAAAAACCCAGTAGGTCAGACATGAGAAAAGAGCCGAGATGCTCCAGTATCTGGAGAAGGATTTGGCAGTAAAATCCAGAAGACAATGAATCTGAGAGCATATCTTCGGGGTGTTCTGCCTTTCTGTCCCAGAGCTCTCCCTCCTCTGTTTAATGTTCACAGAACTGGCAGGAAAAACTCGACTTCCCTTTTGCAAGAATATAGGGGCTTTCTAAGGGTACGTCTTCACTTACATCCGGGTCCGGATGTAAGCAATCGGTTTTCTGAGTTCCATTTATCGCGTCTGGTTAAGACGCGATAAATCGATCCCGGATAGATCCCGGAAGTGCCCCGGATCGATCCCGGAAGTGCTCGCCGTCGACGCTGGTACTCCAGCTCGGCGAGCGGAGTACGCAGCATCGACGGGGGAGCCTTCCTGCCGCGTCTGGACCGCGGTAACTTCGGACTAAGGTACTTCGAATTCAGCTATGTTATTAACGTAGCTGAATTTGCGTACCTTAGTCCGAAGTGGGGGGGTTAGTGTAGACCAGGCCTAAATAAGCAGCAGCTCTCTCTAATCTTATGGTAGTAGTAAAGTTTAAACTGCTTGTGTGGTTAATGCCCATTCCCAAAACACTTCAATAGGTTAAATTTAATGCCTGCTAGCTTGCCCGACTGGCCTGATTGTCTTAATCTTTGGCTGTGACTTCATCTCTTGGCAGGCTAATTCACTGGCTTGAAAAAATGGGTAAGAAGATGCAAGTGTGGTTGAACTCTGCTGCCATTCTGGCCTAGATTCATAGCTCTTTCCACTGCCCCTCTAACTACCATCTGTGCACAGAAGCTACATTTGTTTGCTCTTTGCCTCCCGCACCCCCAGCAAAATGCATTTGCCAGGTATGAAGTGCTATAATACTCTCCTCTGTATAAATTGAGATTGGGGTCCCAGTTCTCCCTGCTGTAAGTAGACACAGCCCCATTCAGTTAGTGGGCTTATGCCACAACTGAATTTAGTCTTGACTGTCTGCTCCATGTCAACCAGAAAAGCCCTACAATCCTGATGCCTATCTAGTAGAGGGATAGGACAATTTACTGAGTCCGCCTGAGGGGTTGGATTATGCACTTGTTTAGAACCTTTCAAGCAACGCTTCCTAAACCCTTTGAAAGCTCCAACCCTGCCATGTTGGCTGGACAGTACAGAGGAAACTGTTTTGTGCCCCACCCCAGAAGGGTTGTGTGCACCCCACACTCACCAATGCTGCCTTAAAAGGTAAAGACAGACCTAGTTCTGTTTCCTGGAAGCTGGCAGAACTCTGTTCGTTGCCTTTATTTCCCCACAGTGCTCTTCTCCTTTCTTCTCTTTTGGCAGAGCTGGAAAGGACCCAGGCTGCTGACAGATAAAGCTTCTAGTGAATTTGTTTTATGTGCAAGTTTCTGGAGAGTCAGTGGTAGCTCGTATACAGAGGGCACTGGGGTACCACGCCCACTGAAGTATGCAAAGTCACTTGTGTGACTAAATATGAATCGTGAACACCTCTGTGCTTGTGATTTGTATTTAGTAGCAGCCTCAGGGTGTGTTCTCCCTGTGGCACACATACAGACGGCACCATCAAATCTAATAAAAGGTATGTCCCAGGGATTTTGAGTGGGGTCTGGAGTGTAGAGTCTACGTAAGGCAGTTAGAATGCTCTACGGTCACTGCAGCCTGTAGCTTGAGTGGTGAATCCAGCGCCTCAGACCCCACTCAAAATCCCCCACAACGTCATTTCCTTATCAAGGAGCATCTAACCATTTGACCACCTCAAGGTCTCTTTTCTGGTGACTGGCCAAGTCTTGTTTCCGTACTTTAGGATGGGACAAATTATAGTTTTATGCAGTCTGCCTTTTGGCATCTTTTTATCCCAGAGAATTGGGGTGATCTCCCTCTATTTGCACCTGAAGCAGCTTTGGTATGATGCTGTGCATCACTCAGGAGGCCAGCATTGTCAGCAGCCATTGATGCTAGGTATGTAAACTCTTTCACTCCCCTAAGCTCTCTGCCTATAATATCCTTTATGGTAGGTGGTCGTCCCCCAGTTATCAAAGCCTCGGTCTTATTAACGTTCACTCCACGTCCTGCCTGCTGAAAATTGTGATGCTGCTGTTCAAAGTTGGCTTTCAGGGTCTCTGTCTTCTACACATATGACTGTCATCAGCAAACAGCAAGGTGTCTCCCTTCATATATTCTCACTTATCACATCTGTGACAACTGCTAACAAAAAAGACTCAGTGCTAACCCCTCATGCAGGCCAATGTTTACTGGAAACTCTCTCTGTTGTAGTCCCATTTGGTTTTGACTGTGCTAGCTGCTCCGTTGCACATCTCCTGGGTAAGATGGACCTATCCCTCAGGCACACCTCTCTGTCTCAAATTCCCATTTGAATTCTCTTGGTACACAATCATATGCCCTCTCCATGTCTATAAAGACCATACTCAGATGCTGTCTGTCTTCTCTGAACTTCTCCATAAGAATTCTTAGAGGATTCTGACTGCAAGAAGCTGGGACTGGATGATGGGATGGGTCACTTGATGATTGCCCTGTTCTGTTCGTTTGCTCTGAAGCATTTGGCACTGGCCACTGCTGAAAGGCAGGGTACTGGGCTAGATGGACCATTGGTCTTACCCACTATGGACATTCTTATGATAAATATAGCATAAATTGTACTTCGTCCTGGCATAAATCCTTACTGACAGTTTCAAACTTCAACCATTCCATGCAAATACTTTTCAGTAATCATCTCCCATACTTTCATAGTATGACATCAGCTTAATTGGGTGATAATTAGAACTCAGTATATTCTCTCCTTTGTTTAAAAATGGGCACCACAAAGCCTTTGTCACTCCAGCATTCTGTTTCTTAAGAATCATTGAACAGACTTGT